GAGGAAAGGAAATATAAGAGTTATAGGAATTCCAGAAGGAGAGGAGAAAGATGTAGGAACAGAGAAAATATTCATGGATATAATTGAAGAGAACTTCCCAAATGAGAAGAAGGAGCTGAAAATTGATATACAAGAAGCAAGAAGAACACCAAACTTCCACGATGAAAGGAAAAACACAGCAAGACACATAATAGTAAAGCTCCCAAGAATCCAGGACAAGGAAAAAATAATGAAGCTGACAAGAGGGAAGAAACAGATAACATTCAAAGGAAAACCAATCAGGCTGACATCAGACTTCTCTGAAGAAACACTACGGGCAAGGAGAGAGTGGAGGGACATAGTCAACAGACTCCAAGAAAACAGATGCCAACCAAGAATACTCTATCCCGCAAAGCTCTCTTTCCTCCATGAAGAAAGAATATGGACCTTCCCAGACAAAGAGAAACTCCGGAATTTCATTGCGACTAAACCCCCACTCCAAAAAATACTACAAGGAATCCTAAAGCCAGAACCTCAGAGGGACGAATAACAACGAAAGAAGACCAAAAAAAAAAAGTTATTAAAAGAATAAATAAATAAAATCAAAGGAAAGACAAACATAATGGCAAATACAGATGCTAACATATCAATATTAACTCTAAATGTAAATGGACTAAACTCTTCAATAAAAAGACACAGAGTTGCAGCCTGGATTAAGAAACAAAACCCAACCTTTTGCTGTCTCCAGGAAACACATTTAGCTACAAAAGATAAAAATAGGCTCAAAGTCAAAGGATGGAAAACAATCCTGCAAGCAAATGGGCCAAAAAAGAAAGCAGGAACAGCTATACTTATATCAGATAAAACAGACTTCAAACTCAAAAAATAAAAAGAGACCCCAATGGTCACTACATTATGATTAAGGGGACAATACTTCAAGAAGAAATAACACTCATTAACATATACTCACCAAACGAAAGAGCACCAAAATATATCAGACAACTGTTGTCCTCTCTGAAAACAGACATCAGAGAAAACACATATGTAGTCGGAGACTTCAACACACCACTATCAACAATGGATAGATCAACAAGACAGAAAATAAGTAAAGAAACTAAAGCTCTAAATAAGGACCTAGAGCATTTGGGCTTAACAGACATCTATAGAACACTAAACCCCAAAAAAACGGAGTACACATTTTTCTCAAGCGCACACGGATCATTCTCCAGGATCGATCACATACTGGGGCACAAGACAAACATCAACAGATACACCAAGATTGAAATCATACCAACCATCTTTTCTGACCACGAAGGCATCAAACTAGAAATAAATCATAAAAAGAAGGCAAGGAACTATCCTACCTCATGGAGATTAAAAGCCACACTACTGGAAGACCACTGGACTAACGAGGAGATCAAAGAAGAAATTAAAAAATTCTTTGAATTGAATGACAAGGAGGACACCAATATCCTAAATGTATGGGATGCAGCAAAAGCAGTAATAAGAGGAAAATATATAGCAATAGAAGCTCACATCAAAAAACAAGAAAGAACTCAAAGAAACAACCTAATCTCGAAGCTCAAAGATCTAGAAAAAGAACAACAAAAAAACCCCAGAACCAGTAGAAGAAAAGAAATAATAAAAACCAAAGCAGAAATAAATGAAATTGAAACTAAAAAAACAATCCAAAAGATCAATGAAACCAAGAGCTGGTTCTTTGAAAAAATAAATAAAATAGACAAACCCCTAGCCAGGCTCACAAAGGAAAAAGGGAGAAAGCACAAATACACAGAATCATAAATGAAAGAGGAGAAATCACAACGGACACAGCAGAAATCAAAAGAATAATCAGTAACTACTATGAACAGTTATATGGAAACAAGTTCAACAATCTAGAGGAGATGGACAAATTCCTACAACTCTACAATCACCCAAAGCTAGATAAAGAAGAAATAGAACACCTAAACAGACCAATTACAAGGAGCGAAATTGAAATGGTAATTAAAAACCTCCCCAAAAACAAAAGCCCAGGACCTGATGGATTTACAAATGAATTCTACCAAACATTCAGAGACGAATTAGTGCCTATCCTTCACAAACTCTTCCAAAAAATTGAGAAGGAAGGGACAATACCAAACACGTTCTATGAAGCCAATATTACACTAATACCAAAACCGAATAAGGACAACACAAAAAAGGAAAACTATAGGCCAATCTCCCTAATGAACACTGATGCAAAAATCCTCAATAAAATTTTAGCTATCAGAATCCAACAATGTATCCATAAGATAATTCACCACGACCAAGTTGGATTCATTCCAGGGGCACAAGGATGGTTTAACATCCGAAAATCAATCAACGTTATCCAACACATCAACAAAAAGAAATATAAAAACCATATGATAATATCAATAGATGCTGAGAAAGCTTTCGACAAAGTGCAACACCCATTCATGATAAAAGCCCTTGAAATTCTTGGGATACAAGGAACATACCTCAACATCATAAAGGCCATCTATGACAAGCCAACAGCCAGTATCATTCTCAATGGTGAAAAGCTGAAAGCAATTCCATTAAGATCTGGAACAAGACAAGGATGTCCACTCTCACCACTGCTTTTCAATATAATACTGGAAGTCCTAGCCAGAGCAATAAGACAAGAGAAAGACATCCAAGGAATCCAAATAGGAAAAGAAGAAGTCAAACTATCACTATTTGCAGATGATATGATAATATACATAGAGAACCCCAAAATCTCCACAGAAAAACTAATTCAACTCATCAATCAATTCAGTAAAGTGGCAGGATACAAAATCAACACGCAAAAGTCAGTAGCCTTCCTATACACAAACAATAAATCTGAAGAAGAAGAAATCAAAAAAACCACCCCTTTTATTATCGAAACAAAAAAAATCAAATATTTGGGAATAAATCTAACAAAAGAGGTAAAGGACCTATACAAAGAAAACTATAAAACACTGTTAAAAGAAATAGAAGAAGACACAAAGAAATGGAAAGACATCCCCTGCTCATGGATTGGAAGAATAAACATTATTAAAATGGCCATCCTACCAAAAGCAATATACAGATTCAATGCTATTCCAATCAAAATCTCAATGGCATTCTTCAAAGAAATAGAACAATTATTGATGAAATTCATATGGAATCACCAAAAACCCCGAATAGCCAAAGCTCTACTGAAAAAAAAAGAAGGAAATGGAGGCATCACACTCCCAGACTTCAAACTATACTACAAAGCCATAATCATCAAAACTGCATGGTATTGGAACAAGAACAGACATACAGACCAATGGAATCGAATAGAAAATCCAGAAATAAACCCACAGATTTATGGTCAACTAATCTTTGACAAAGGAGCAAAGACTATGCATTGGAGCAAAGAAAGTTTGTTCAATAAATGGTGCTGGGAAAACTGGGTCGCTACATGCAAAAGAATGAAGCTTGACCACTACCTCACACCATACACAAAAATCAACTCAAAATGGATTAAAGAACTAGACATAAGACCTGAAACCATAAAATACATAGAAGGAAATATAGGCGAAACACTACGGGATTTGCACATCAAAGACATCTTTACAGACACATCACCCAAAGCAGTGATAGTGAAGAGAAAGATCAACAGCTGGGACTACATCAAATTAAAGAGCTTCTGCACAGCAAAAGAGACAATAACAAAAACAAAGAGAAACCCCACCAACTGGGAGAACATTTTTGCACCCAACACTAATGATAAAGGACTGATCACAAAAATCTGCAAAGAGCTGATGAGACTCAGCAACAACAAAGAAAATAATCCAGTCAAAAAATGGGCAGAAGAGCTAAAAAGAAACTTCTCTGAAGAGGAAATGCAAATGGCCAACAGACATATGAAAAAATGTTCAACATCACTTGCAATCAGGGAAATGCAAATCAAAACTACCATGAGATACCATCTCACACCAGTGAGAATGGCACATATTAAAAAAACTAGCAACAACAAATGTTGGCGAGGATGTGGAGAAAAAGGAACTCTTCTGCACTGTTGGTGGGAGTGCAAACTGGTCCAACCACTATGGAGAGCTGTGTGGAGATTTCTGGACCTACTAAACATAGAGCTTCCATATGATCCAGCAATTCCACTCCTAGGTATTTACCCAAAGGACACAGAAACATCAATTCCAAAGAGCACCTGCACCCCTATGTTTATAGCAGCACTGTTTACAATAGCTAAGCTTTGGAAACAACCCAAATGCCCAAAAGTAGATGACTGGATCAAGAAGATGTGGTACATATATACCATGGAATATTACTCAGCATTCAAGAAAGATAAACACATGCAATTTGCAGCAACATGGATGGCGCTGGAAGGGATCATGCTCAGCGAAATAAGCCAAAAAGAAAAAGAAAAATACCGGATGGTCTCACTCATAGCAGGAATCTAGAAAACTTAAATAAGGGACCAGGAAAATGAATATAAGAAAGTGAAAATCAAAATCAACAAAAAACTATGAACCAGAGACACTTTTTGGGGGGTGGGGGGCGGGAGGGGAAGGATTGGGGTCAGAATGGGGCGTTTGCAATTGTATGGGGGAATATAAAAATAAAATTTAAGATTAAAAAAAAAAAAAAAAAAAAAAAAAAAAAAAAAAAAAAAATATTTCAAAGCTGTTTTTAGAAAGAAAATATCAAAATATTATTTTAATACAATGCTTCATCTCCCCCTCCCCCAATATATATAGATATAAGGCAGCACCCCACATGATTGTTACTTTGCCCTCTGTACAGACCAAGTTTTTTTGAGAAATGTCTTCCAAAGTCTTCTTATATGAGAGTTTTCCTCTGCTCAAAGTTTCACATGAGTCAGTAGTAACCCCTGCTTCATCAAGTGAGCTTCTGTAGGAGGAACAGGCTAGCTCTTCAGTTGAATTCAGGTACCTTTCTCTTTGGCTTCACACATATAGTAACATATATTAGTAATCAGCATGCTGTCAAATAGGAAGGATTCCACCACTTACCAAAATAAGACCTGATATTAGTGAGGAAGTGCCTGTCAGGGCCACGTAGAATTTCGGTGTTAATGTATTCAAAAACATGCTCACTGAAAGAAAAAAAAAAGAGGGAGGGAGAAGAACAGGGAATGCTGATGTTAGTAAAACGAACTCATTTTTCTTTCTGGTGAAATCATTTGATTCTAATGATGATAATTCTTAGCACCATAACAAAGTCCCATTAAAATGCTTCAGCATCACAGAGTCTCAGAAAACTAGGTTCAAGTTCTACATCTTGAGAGACAGTAAACCACTTACATGAAAAAAAGTCTTTGGGTTTTTGCCTCCCCAAACTATTATTATGAATGATTTTCATCACAACTATTGTTGTGAACAATTCATAACCACGGAGTCTAGTTAAAGTTGATTACTAAATTGGAGTAAAAAGAAAAAGAAGATGCCCTGTATGTTTTGTAGGATCCAGACATAAGTGTCCTTGATGAAATAACAAGCAGTATTTCACCTCAGAAAAAAAGGAAAATAATCATAGTAAACAGTTACTAAAGATCTTAATATAATGGTTACCATAAGAAGAAAGAACCAACTGACAAAAGTTAATATATATTACTAAAAGCTTTTAAAGTTTACTCAAAAGGCCATTATACTGCTCATCAAAATAACTGAATTCAGTGAAAATGAGCATGCACTGTCAGACACCTTCCTGCTACTCTGTTCATATCAACCATATACTTTATCTGGTTGTACGGTAAGTAAGGCTCATTTATACATTTTTTAAACAGGATGTAAATGTAATATGTATGTACAGTATATGTAATATAAATATTTTAAGTAAATATCTCTGATAGCTAGGTATTGCACAAAACTTTGATTATTACCAAAACAACTGACCAAAAGGGCTTTTTGCACACATATTCACATTTCTTTACTGAATTTGTTTGTGGAGGGGGATCATATCCAGTTCAGTTTTAGAATGAAGGATATTAGAAGCAGGACTTTAATGTCATTAGGGGAAAAGACGTTAGCATTTGTCCTGAGTTCAACCTAGAAAGCAAGGTTACCAATATGAAAAATATCCCAGATTCAAATATTCCTCTGTCTATGAATGAGGCCATGGACAAAGAATGAAGGAATGAACCAGACACATCTCCCACCCTCTGGAAGGTTATAGCCTAGTTTGGAAACTGATGAATAAACAAACAATTATCAGAAAGTTCTAAATGCATAATGAAAACACGTAAGAGGGATGCATCTCAGACTAGTGGTTAGGGTAGAAGTCCGGGAGAACGAGACATCTAAACTAGGTCCCCATGAGTAGCAGGCATTAACCAGACCAGAAGGGCAATGTGAGCACAGAAGGGCCTGCTTTGAGGTGTGAGGAAAGAGCACAGCTTTTCCAAGCAGCTGCCAAGGTTGAGGAGGGAAGGTGCTTGAGCTGCAGACCCGTGGCAAAGATGCCAATGTGGAAGGTGCACTGATTCCATCCCCCTAGCTACTGGACATCCTCTCAGAAACCCCTCCCCCCCATCTACTCTGAAATAAATTCAGTGACTTGTGGCCTATCATTTGTAATCACAAGAGTGTGGACTGCTCTAAAGTACTCAGTCAATGCCTATGACTTGACTAAGTGAACTCTTCCAGAGAGATAGACAAAGACACTGAAGGAGCAGTTAGTCTATGACTACAAGGCAAGAGAAGATACAGCTGACTAGGGAGATTTGCTTGGCCATCTTAAAAAATATGTATCATAGGGCCTCCCTGGTGGTGCAGGCATTTGAATGCAGTGCTGTGAAGCTGTCTGCAGCCTCTGCAGCACAGGTTCGATTCCCTGCAGTCCAGGGAGATACCCACATGGCGCAGCAGACCTCTCCTGCCTTGCCCGCTGCTCCCTTCAGCAGTGTTTTCAGTCTGCCTGCCTGTTCTGTTCCCTACTCTGTCTCTGGTGAATAATTTCACCCTCTCAGACATCTGGCCTGTACCCTGGTTCTTGTATGAATAAATAAATCTTTAAAAAAAAACAACATGTATCATAAACAAGGTGTGGAGGGGGGACAATGGATTATGGAGGACAGCTGTGGGTTTCTTGGATGTAGGTGTGAAGACACGCATCTGAGAAAGTATGATACTATGCCTCTGAATCACATACAGTGTTGTAAAACAATGTTGCCTCAATAAAAAAAAAAGTAAAGAAAATTTTAGTTTTCATTTCCCATGAAACAGTCAGTAGAAGAAGGGAAATTTATAAAAAGGAAAAAATCAAAGAAACCATCCTAAGATCATAACTGCCAATCTAATGCTGAGATGCCTAAATTTCTCACTATTAAATGAACCTACACTCTCCATCTTTTTTATAAAATTGCAAAACAGAGTCTATGCTATATTATTCTGTAGTTGTGAACACTCATATCTACCTGTCATAAGTCTTTGTGAACAAACTAAACATAAGATACAATGAATTTCATTCCTGAAAGAAAGGAGGAAAAGATTTGCCTTAGAAGTGTATTAGTACCCTGCTGTTAACTCCCCAGTAATAAAAGCATAAAGCAATGGAAAGGGAATATTTTTGACTGACAATTACAGGCCATTGGAGGCAAAAGACTCAAGAATTAATTGATAAATGAAAAAAAAGAACTTTTTATAGAGATAATTTGGTTTTAAGATTGCACAGCAACAAAAATGAATAATTAAAAACCTACTTTCCATATTATATCCAATTATAGAAAGCTGACTAGAATTGGGAAAGATAATAGGAGGCATGAAAAGAAGTTGAGACACAAATAGGGAAAGAGAGAAGCCAAACAGAACATCTCAAGTGGCAGGTACTCATTTAATAACCGATAAAGCTTATAATCTTACTGGATATGCTGCTAAAAAAACATTAAAACATGGCATTTGGTAATTCTGGGAATAATAATCAACCCTGAGTACTTGTTATTTTAATCTATTTACCTACATATTCACAGTTTTATACAAGAAAAGCACCTTCACATATTACAGAGTTTAATTCTCACTGCAACCCCATGAAGTTAATATTATTATTCATCCTCACAGCAGGAGGCTAGGAAAAGACCAGATCCCAAAGTTTAGGCTCATGGCATCACAAGGTGTACCAAAGGATTTTGTTGAAAAGTATTAAGCAACAAAATAATAAAAGGAAATAGTAGCCTTCCATTAGAAAAGGAGAAACTCAAAATAAATGATACTGGAAGATGAAAGTTTTCAAGATCTGGAAAAAGATAGAAGTCTTTTGCCTCTAGCCGTTAATGCTAAGTCCACTGTAATGTTATCATTGGGGTGAAATGACTGGATGCCACCCAGAAAGAAGGGAGAATCTATAAAAGATGACTGCATTAAATTAGGAGGGCTGCAAACTGCACATTGACTGCCTGAAAACCAAGGAGCACTGTGCCTGATCTTGCTTTGTGAAGAAAACATTCATAAAATTTTACTAATGGCCCATCACAATCCAGAGATAAATTAATAAATTTTTCAATCCAACTGGGTGCTACTAACAAGTTCCTGCTCCAAGAATATTGTATCAGGTACTCAAGGGCTGCCTCAGACTGCAATAGGAAGCATCCTGAAGATACTGAACTTTAGTCTGGCAGTTTTCTCATTTAACTAATGAGTTAATGGGAAAGAATTAAGTATGACTCTGAAAAGAAATTAAGTAGGAGGGTGGGTACATGGAGATTGAAAATTAAATAACTTTGTTATTTAATTAAAATTAATTATGGATCACATAAGAGGATTGATAAGAACATAATACAGCAGATCAACTGTGGGAAGTGAAGAATCACTCCTGTAAGGAACGAACTAGAATACCAGAAGACTTACTAAGGAATCATGTGGAATGGCCCAGTGAGGTAATGTCTGTAAGGAACCAGCCACATTTCTCTAACAGTCTTCCCCCACATTCAAGCAATCCCCCAAATTACACTCCTGGAAAACACCTCAAAAAAAAAAAAAAAAACAGAGTAAGCACATAATCCTGTGTGTTTGTCTCCTTAGATATATTCTACCTCGCACAGAGGAGTCCTTGAATAAAGAGATTAAGTCAGCATCAAAGACTTGTAGGCACCGACTAGATAGGCACTGTGATCAAGTCTACAACACTCCAAAACTACAGTCTACTCTGTCCTGTGGTCCTTTGAATAGCTTACTAAAATATGGCATGTGAAAGAAAATAACTTTAAAAGTTATAAAATGACAATCACCAACCTTTAAAAAGGTTAGAAAAAAAAAAAACAGCCCCAGCTTCTAAGGACCAAGAAAAGAAAAAAGTCCCTAGGAGAAAGGTTAAAGAAACTAAGTTTATCCTGGGGTGGGTGCAGGTTTGGGGTGGGGAGAAGGGATTGAAGAGATTTTATGTAAAAGCAGGCCTGGGAAAGAGAAGTTGATCTCTAAATGTGAAACCAACTGTGACTTGGTGGCCCTGGGAAGTTCCCACTCTCCCCAAGCTATTCTGAGGCTCAGATAAAATGTGGATTCCCTCATAACCTCAGTGTACGCTGACTGGGTGCTACCCTGGATCGGGTGCTAAAGTTATACCAGCAAACAGAGTACTGTCTCAGCCCCCAAGGGACTCACCATATGGGTGAGAGAGGCAAGCAAATGGACAAGCAAATATCAAGAAGGCACTTGAGGAAGTCACGAGAACACGGGACACCCCAAAGGGATTAAGAGATCAAGAAAAATTTCCACCAAGAAAAATCATTCCATCTAACACTTACAGGATAATCAGGACTTATCCAAGGAAAAGTTATCTCTGGTTGCCAGGGGCAAGAGGATAGAGAGAGGTAGAGCTGTAGAACATTTCCGAACACTTCGGCTCATGGGCTTAAAGGTACATGCTTTGGGAAGGAAAGGGAAGGGGAAAGCAGGTGCCTCGGAATTCTACATATATGTGGAGGCACTGGTGGGGAATTACCATTAGACATGTGAAATTGCTGCCTAAAGTGTTTGATATACAAACACATGGAGCAAACATTAGGAGCAAATGGCAATTCTCATATGAGACAAATATTAGAATGAGTTCAAGTTGCATTTACAAAAATTAGGGGTATTATTCATTGCAGAGTAGTCTTCTCCA